ACTCGATTGATCTGCAACCTTTTACGATGTTCACAACTAAAGATATTCGACAAACAAGAAAGGTGGTAAAAAGTGGTAAAGTGGCAAAAAGCGCTCCTACTAAATCGCTCGCCCAAATTTTAAGAAAATTCTTGTGAAAAGGCCCTTTGGGCATGAAAGTGATCGGAATCGGTGTATTTTTAGACGCTGATTCCGAATCACCCCCATGACATAGGGTTAAAATGCTTCCCTGGAGAGTTATGGGCAAAAAACCGTTTTGGTCACGTGACAGGCTAGTAAAATACGAATTCGATTGTTTAGGGCTCGTGTTAGGGTTAGGGTTGTGGTAAGGGTTATGGTTAGCTTCGGGGTTATGGTTAGGGTTAGGGTTGGGATAAGGGTTTATGTAAAACCGTTTTGTACGGCTGCAAAACCATAAAAAGTCACGTGAAATTTTTGGGCGAGCGAATTAGTAAAAGCCGGCAAAAATTGGCCTTAAGACAAGTGGAAAAGTTTGGAAAAGTTGGTCAGCCATAAAGGGCACCTAATGGGACTCAAAAACGTCAAAAATCCTCTGAAAGCTTCGTGTGTCAGCAGATCGATTTTTTCAGACGGATCTGTCTGTACTATATAATAGGTAAACTATAGGTGTGATGGTTGTTTCTGCGTATTTGTGATGGTTGTTTCTGCGTATTTATAACCTGTTACTAATTAATCAACAGGATTATTATGTTGATTGTATCGATAAAACATGTATTTTAAGGCATAAGGAAGCATTATTGAGCTCTGAAACCAATTTTAATCGATTGCTCGTGCAATTTTAGGTTCGGAATGTTGATCAAAATAAGTTTATAACAATGACGATATTTTGTTAAACTTCTAGCTTCTGTCAGAAAATAAATTTACGGATTCTTATTCTATAACAGGGAGTAATTAGATATAAACTACAGTACAGCTGTGCTTACACCCACATTCGCAAGCATGCAAGCTCACCTGGTCCAATTAGCGGGAAATGGAGAACAAGCTCTGGTGGCGTCATAGTCACGTGACCTCAGGCTCATAATCACGTGACCTCAGACCCAATCAATTGGGTTCTGGCCTGGTCAGCTCCCTGTTACCTGATCTTGAGGTGACGTACGACACCTCGTTAACCCGATCAATGTCTGGAAGGCTGCAAATTTTCACATGCCAAACTCACAAGGGTCTTGCGGAGTTGTGCGAGATAACGATACATAGAGGCCGCAGAATTATGAAGACTAGTGACTACCAGATCGTGGTGTAACCTAAGCGATCCATGATATCATGACGGCGCATCGTATATGTTAAATTGACCTCTCTGCACTCAAACTGCAATAAATGTCGTATACGAATATATGCCCCAAAATACTACGGTAAAATACTGGACACCACGACCACCTAATATTATAAAAAATAATACCTTGGCTGCTTCGGCCTTCGGGCGGCCCGAAGCAGCCAAAGTATTATTGTATTACTAGTGTAACCCGGCCTACGGCCGGGATTTCACTGCCGCAATTAAAAAGGGTAGGAGTAATTACCCGCTGAGTCAAAACCCGCATTAGGTGACCCAATAGTTTCTTAAACAATAATCTCATAATCAGTTATTTCTTGTGGATAATTAAGTCATTATTAGCCATGAGGCACCACACTCCATGATCATAAGGTCTGAACACCGAGTATAATTACACCTCATCACTCCCGTCTTGAACCGCTTTCTATTTTTATTTAAATCGTTATAGAAATTAACCCTTGTTAACTCCGCGCCACATCCGCATATTATATTTGAAAACACGCATAACATTGTCGTATGAACTCTCTCTCTCTCTCTCTCTCTCTCTCTCTCTCTCTCTCTCTCTCTCTCTCTCTCTCTCTCTCTCTGCAGTCCAAACAGACCCCAAACACTAACAGTCCCCCCTCCCCTAATAAGCTTAAGGTATAACATTACAGCGAATCTTCCGGGCTAATCAAATTATGACGCTACTTAAATGCAGCTATAACATATTACACAGTTATGAGAGAGAGAGAGAGAGAGCAAGCCCCGTAACTCTTGCCGTTCTGCTCAAGCAATTTTATGTAACATTTGTGGTACAAAACCATCAATTAAACCACTTACCGCCGGCCGATTTGAAAAAAAAATTCCTATGGGCTTCATCAGAGTTTTGTCGGCACTATACCGAAAAAACCAGTCCCGTAACTATTACCGTTTTTTTTGTATAACTGTTTGGAAATTACACACAGACACACACACAGACACACAGACACAGACACACACACACACACACACACACACATTCTGGTGTTATTAAGTTGATAATCACTATACTAACTTCATATTACACAATATGACCCAAAATTCATCTCCATTGATCACGGCTTACATAACTACCACATAACCACATGTTGTGTTAATATTAATACGGGATCATAATACCCGAGTGTAGTGTGTAATCAGTTCGTATGTGCGTGTAAACAAATTGTCTATCAAATCCGATAAAAACCATATCTTCAGACCATGTCAGTAGACCTGATTGAGCGAGAGTTGCTGTTTTTTGGTATCCTGCAGGGAAACGGCACCACTTCTAAAAGAACCAGCCCTCAGGAGACAGCTCACATCCCGACTCCAATACCAGATGAGGAGGCTATACCTTGGAGGGAACAACTTTTCAAGATTGTGTCCGTCCCTTATAGCTCCACACCGTCAACTGTATGTGCTAAATTAGAATAACCTTCTTATATGTATAAACTCTGGCATAATTTATTCTAACTTATTTTTTGGTGGCGGACTTACTTTCTTTGCGGCACTAATTATTGACATTGAATTTAATGGATCGAATGCCTCTAAAGATTGGGGAAACTGACCGAAATTTCCATTATTGGCAGGTATGGGCAATATTGGACGTCACCTTGATTCTAACCTCCATCATCGCATTTACTATCGAGACAGAGCCAGACTTTGAGAATATGATAAAGTCATTGAGCCCGAATGGGAGCAATGTAGCAAATGTAAGTTTTTAGTTGCATAATACATAATGTATAATTTATAATGTATAATACATAATGTATAATGTATAATGTATAATACATAATGATATAATGATATAATGATATAATGTATAATGTATACAGTATAATGTATAATGCATAATGTATAATGTATAATGTATAATGTATAATGTATAATACATAATGATAGCCTCTTAAAGAAAACGAATGTAGATAGATCTTGAAGTAAAAGAACTGAACAGTTTTTGAATTCATGGCTTGTGGCTGCTATTGAAAAGTTAGTTCACAGTATTTACATTCCAGGTTTTGTTCTACATCGATGCGGTGTGCGTTTCATTTTTCTCGTTAGACATGATTATAAAATTCTTAACGTGGCCTGACAGGATAAACTTCTTTAAAGAACTACTAAACTGGTGTGATATGATATCTGTTGGCCCTTTTTACATACAGGTAAACTAATCACCTACTTTCACACAGATTCCACGCTTCATTATATTAATATGAAGGACTCGAAAAGCTGGGATAAGCCGCTTTAAAATTGCTTGTTTTATTAAATATAACCCAACACACTAAACCGAGTCTAAATCCCTCCCAGCTGATAACGTACATGTTTAACGGGGATGTACATCTTCCTTCTCTCTTCATACTAAGAATGGGGCGTGTGGTGAGATTGTTCAAACTGGTGAGGAGGATACCGGCTCTAACCATGGTCACCAACATCATCTATAGTAGTCGGAGGGAACTGGCTATGCTGGCTGTTTTGTGGTGTATATTTGTGAGTACAACACTTTCTCTTTCACTTTCTATTTACCTTCATTTTCGATTAATATATAAATATTTAATACTCAAGCGGTCCTCTTATCCAGATGTCTCTAATTTCGCAGAGCTAAATGACATTTACCACAGGTATACATATCAGCTGCACTGATGTTCTTTTTAGAAAACTTGAACAATGACAGCGACATGTTTCAAACGATGTTCCACAGTTTATGGTGGAGTGTGGTAACCATGGGGACTGTGGGTTATGGTGATATTTACCCTCGGGAGGTTAGCGGCAAGGTAAGTGTTCTGCAGCGAAACAGCGAACAATTTTGTTATTGCAGTTGAATATGCAGCTCACTGTAACATTTTTGATTTTATTTAAAATGTTAATAAAAATTTATTTACTTAGACAGGGAAATTGTCTGATTGTTGTTATCTACTTTAATAAAAGATACGAATCAATAATTTAGGTGGCAGGTGTGTTCGTGGTGTTCGGTAGCACAATTTTCCTCACTCTCCCAATGACTGTCATAGTCTCCAAATTCAATGACGTGAGTTGAAAGTTCTCAAATACCTTAGTACAGTCAATCAGACTTATTTAGTAAGTCTGACATGTTCAAACTTTTATCATTGTAATAATAGTTCATTCGAAATGAATGAAAACTCAGTGTTATTTTAAACATAATATAACTCAACTCATATAAAATATGTTCATTTTACCAATTTTTTAAGAAATGAACCTTACAGGTGTACGATGATATAAAAGACCAGGAAGATTTAGATAACAGAGAATTCACGGACATGCCCCTTCGAGAAAAAATATTGCTCATTCAAAACCGGGACTGTGAAGGTGTCTAAATATTTTCTTATCAAATTGGAGTTCAGAGCAAGGATCGGGAGTTAGGTTTATAGCGAATATAATAGGCTAGAGCAAATAGCTATAGAATATCGAGTTAAAGTAAGAGTAACTAAAGAAGGTTATGATAAACGATTCACCATGAATCAAGATGATGTACATGCGACAGGTGCTGTATGTATAGGTGCTGTATGTATAGTATGTATAGGTGCTGTATATATGTATAGTATGTATAGGTGGTGTATGTACTCTAGTAAGATTTATATTATCATTATTATTAAATTGCAGTATTTCGTTTGGAAAAGATTGAAGTATTTTTTAACATATTTGATCGTACAAATTTCATTTGTTCAAGATAAAATGACGAATAAAATACATGATATTCAGTAGCAAAGTAGGGAGTTTTCCTCCTCAATATCAACACTATTTACAGATTACTTATTAACAAAAATAAATCACGCATCCTGTATAATCACCTCTCATAACGCATCGGTTATAACTCTAGACACTTTATGTGGGGGTGATTGGAAGTTTTCTGTCCGATTGACACCAAATAAAATCAAATCGTTTTCAAGAGAGTAAGAAGCGCAAATTCTAAATGCAATAAAATCAAACAATCATCTCTGTTTATTGATGAAATGATTTTAAATCCTTTTCAGCCTACCCTTCAAATAGCTCGTGATATGTGAGTGCCGAGCGGGAGCTAGTTATACATCTGACTAAACTTTAAAATCAATCCATCTCTTATCTGACATATTCTGTTACACTCATCACTGTACAATCTTCTACGCAGCGACACTGTATATCTCACTGATGGAAAGTCACGTGTTCTCTCTCTCGATCTCTCTCTCTCTCTCTCTCTAAAGTTTCTTGTAAACCCCAGCCCCATGACTTCCCACTTCCAAAAGTTGACCAGGTTCCCACATCAGATCCACCAAATAATGCTTACTCTTCCCTCCCTCCACCAGGGTTACCTCATTCCAGGCTCTGTTATATTCTCCTCTCACTAACGAGGCGGGTACTCCAACTCTGTCGGCTAGAACTTTAAACAATAAAGCCCGGTGGTAGAAAATACCCCGTTTGATAAACCCGATGGGTATAACATTAGTCTTGAGATCTGCTTTGATTTGGGCGATGTGAAGGTCGTATGATAGGGCGGCAATGCTGGTAACAGGGCCTCCCATCTGATTACTAACGTACACTGATAGTGCTGCTATCTGCTCAGCTTGAGTGGGGAGCGGACCGACTGCGGAGGTTGCTTCTTCTATGTACTCTCGGAGTGAAGAGTCCACGCGAGGTTTTCCAGTATCTTTCTGCTCTTTTGGTGGCTCTGGTTCCGGGACTTCTTCTTTCTTTTCTTCGGCTTTGTGCGGCTTTTTACCTGTAATGTAGGATGGTTGAAAATGCAATATCTCACTGCAATAAATTCTAAGATAAGTTTTGTTTAAAAATTAAGAAGTATGAACGATTTAAAGATTAGGAGCAAAACCTCTTTCCTACTATACTACGCATCATCGCTTATTAATGTAAGTACAGCAACTTACCTTTAGCTGTGCCCCGGCCTGTCTTAACATTGGTGGTAGACCCAGTAGTACTGGCTTCAGACTTCATATCAGCTGGCTCTGGGTCGGCTCCTATCGAACTAACGTACAGTACTGCTCTCTTGTTATCTACCTGCACACATGAACAAGATAACAGATAGTACCAGACAGAGAGACTCAGGTCTAATATAAGTTCAAATGTACGACGGTCGGAAGAAAATTACTATCTGTTCAGTCCGTATTTTTGAATTGAGAGTAAGTTACACATTAAATATAGCTTTTATTTCAAAAAGCTGAAGGCGACACAAGGAGTGACCGACGGACGGACAGACAGACAGTGTTCCTAACCTTGCGATCGAGAAGTAGCTTGATAGGTTTGAAATCATCTCCCGGCTTGTGAGCACCAGTATCGTAGAAACCATCCTTAACAACATCAGTCTGGGACAGGGTCCCCATGTGCCAGTACTTAGCAGCTAGATCGTAGTGGAGCAGCTTTTCTAACGCAACTACTGCCAGGTTACTTACTCCCTGGGTATCAGAAAGTTTAAAGTTCCCTATCTATTAAATTCTTATCCTGTTTTATATACCAGGATATTCTGACAAACCAAACATCTTCGGGTGATAAATTGGAATTCACAGCAAAATACACGTGGAATCACCTGTATATCATTAGTGCACATGTCCATCAGAACTTGTAGAGCCCCGTTCTTGTTTAGCTCTTTCGCCATTTCCTCATTTGCTACAGAGATACCTATAGTCCAGGCTGCTTTTCTTAGCACCTGCAGTGGAACATTGATATGAGAAATTGTAGCGCCACAAATAACTGATAATATACAAATATCTTAGAGGAGTGAGGACCAGTTAACTGAAAAAAAAGTTATCCTCATATTTTGACAGATTGTGACAAATAGCAAACTAAGCAACGAGTCGAAATTCCTAAATCTCTAACTGCTCTCTAACGCGTGTAAATATCGTTTGTATTATTTTGGCGATGACGTCATAAAGTCCCTTGCGCGCGCAGATGACCTCGTGAGACTGTATTTTACAGGTAGAAAATGTACATAATACAATGTTTTTCCCCGAATAACTCGAAAAGTAAGTAATTTAGGGTACATGTTGCTTCATAAGTTGTATATAAACATGGCCATTCTGCACAATTTGTACACATTCAAAAACCTTTAGGGCCTTCATAGCCCAATTTACCAGATACCCATAGTTTTGCATAATTTCTGGAACCGAAAATCAGTTTTTCGCCAATAACTGAAAAAGTAAGCACTTAAAGGCATATGTTTGTTCGTAAGTCATATATTAATATGCTAATTGCGGTTCTTTTGCACCCTGTCTAAAGACTCTATCACGATCCTATCGAAAATGGGCTCAGCACCACGCCCAAAATGGTTTTTGGCGAATTTCTCGAAAAGTGAGGATTTTAGGCCATGTGTTGCTCAATAACTCCTATATAAACATGCATATGCGGCTTCGTTTAAGCCTATTTTGAAGTCTCTACGACCTTCAGAAGCAAGGGGTCGGTTACGTTATTGGGTCAATATGGGCGTGGCCCTCCTGGGTTTTCTCCACGGTAAAAAAATGTCTCCAAACGAAAATCGTTTATTCATACCTTCGGGAAGGTCTGTGCAAAGTTTCGTGAGCATTTGAACATTTGCAGGTTCATTTCCATAAATGTCAATAAATGACTGGACTATATCTATTATTGTGTAGTACTATATCTATTATTATTATCAGTTAATAGTTTTGTTGTGCTGATGTAAGTTATGTTTGATGTTGGGTGTCTTGTGTTGGTATAGTTTTGTCTCCTGTAGTGTATGTGATATCACTGCAGTACTGACCTATAATTATAGATAGGTATTAGGTACATGTTATATTATAGTAAATATAGGGGTGTATATAATGTAATGTCTATTATATAACCGCTATTCAACAGGTTTTACACACTATATTTTACATATTATTCACGTATTATTTTGCATATTATTTTGCATATTAGAGTACGCGATCTCACTGTTTCTCTTTTGTTTCTTAAGGCTTCTAATAATAGTCTTCTTAATGTGCTGGACTACACAACTTTAGAGAAACTAAAGAATTCATTTATCTCAAATTAAGCTGTTAGTGTCCATGATCAACCTGTGGCGACAATATTTTACGTGAAATGTAAAAATCAGGAGTAATATAAAAAGTGTATTTTTAGATTAAAGTGCTAGCTCATAGTTTTAGAATTGTATTATAGATTAACGTTGGTCGTTTAGCCATCTAACAATCGATCGTGCCGTAATATATGGCCAGAGAATAATAGGGTCTTGGAAATTCTATAGTTGTTCAGTGGGTCGATTGACTGAACACGTTTGCACTTGGTATTTAAACTTACCAGTAGTTTATTTATGTTATGTGCCGATGATAATGCAATTAGGATAACAACTAGGTAAGCCGTAAGTCTAATTCAAAAGACACCGCACCCCGCACACCGCACACCGTACACTCCTCAGTATTACTATTTGGTAGACCGGGCATTTTTGCGGGAATTCTGTTCCCACGGCACTGTTCTGATAGAAGCTACTTCTACTAATGGTCCCAGAGGAACGGCCGTAAAGTAGCCAGACTTCTTGTCTCCTGTACTGGCTGCCACATGCAGATTAAAGTTAGAAATTTCGCTATATATGCTATAAATATAATTGCTCTCGGAATTGAACAAACTACTTATCTAGATCCTTTCTAAATTCGTTAGAGTTTCATGGACTGGGGAAAAATAATCGGTACAGTCTCCCTGCTTGTGTAATTAAGCAATGAAAACAATCAAAAATTATCACATATGACATAAGTTGTAATACTAATAGCAGAAACTTTCTAACCGTACATTCACCCGCCACTGTTCAAGAACCTATATCACTGTTTAAAATCATGACGTGAGCACTGTACATCCAATCAGCTATTCCTTTAGTTAGGATGATAGCCGAAACTATAAGGATTGTGGAGAACTAGGGTAATAGTCATAATTCTAAAATTTGAGTGAGTTACACGTGTTTTATTGACGATGATAAACATTTGCAAGGTAATTTACGCTATGCAAGCGCGCACTGAGGGACTTTATGACGTCACGAGGCCACAGCTTATTATTGCAATAACACGCGTTACAAATACACGTACGCTAGAGAGTTGGTTCTTTCGGCGATACGATTCTTTACCGGTTTGTCACAGCTGATTTAAATCTTAGCCAAATTGGAGACTACAAATTTTTCAGTTAACTGGTCCTTACCATTCCGCTGTATGTAAATCATAGAAAAACCGACAATTTTCTCCTGGGAGAACAAACTGTTTAATGAACATCTCCTCACCTCTTTATTGCTGGACTCCTTGAGGATGGAAACAAGAGATCCGAGTGCGTTAGTTTTGAGCAACTCTTCTCTAGCACTTGAGTCAGCTACGAGTGCAGCGAGTGCTTTACAGGCAGCAATACACACGTCCGTGTCTGGGTTGGTGAGACAGGCGGAGAGACTCTGCATGACGTTTAGAGACACCAGCTGCTCTCTCAGTGTCTCTGTAATGTTGTCAATTACATTATTAGTTTTTAGTTGTGTCAACTTTAATATAACATAATACGTTAGGGCTTTAAATTATTAATTTTGAAAAACTATGAAAGCTGTGTTAAATGTTAGTCCAGGTTTAGCAGCGTAACATACTCAAGCCTTGAAAGATACAAGATACAAGATAATTTCACTGTTTCACATGTACTACTAACCGAACTTGACGATGTTGAACACGACGGTAGCCAGGTAGCTGAGAATGCGCGGAGAAGTGCTCTCTTCAAGAACCTCTACTAGCTGGGTCACGTGCTCATCTTGTATTATATCTAGACACACCACCTTGCTATCTGTAACAGGTTTTAAACTAATTACAACAGTGTATTATGCCGTGATAGGATATATTTAATCTGGTACTGGCCAGTCCATGAGTCCAGAGCCTGGCTTGATGCGTGATGAAGAACACAAATACCATTATATATCTAGAAAATAGAACATAAGTTTTCTTCCTGGTACCCTGCACGTTTATTCTAGACTTATATTCATCACGAAATAAGCCAAATTGATCAATTATTCGGCATACACAGCTGAGTGTGGATTAGGAAAATGTTGATAATATATTTAAAGTAAACATACTAAGTGATAAATTAGCTAATGAGAGAGTGCTCATCTCCTGAACAGTCTGATCCTCGTGTCCTATCAGCTTCATTAGAGCCTGTAGAGGGATGAGGTTAACTCGTGACCAAATGGTGTGTAGAAAACGATATAATTTCAACATCTCATAGTTCAACGGTTTAAAATAGTCAAATATACTGCAAATGGACGAGATGATTAGGTTCCTACCTGGATGACACCAATTTTGGTGAAAGTCTCCTTGACCAGAGGGTTGGCCACCATAGTGGAGACAGTTAGACACGCTTGAGCTAGGACCCCAGCGTGCTCACCCCCGAGCACTGTCATTATTGTGGTCTCAATCTCGTTATCGTGCAGAATCTGGCAGTTCTCCGGTTTTCCACTGCATGTGCTGATTGCACGCAGAGCGTTTAACTGAATTGAAACCATATGCTGATTATCTACAATTTCTTCAGATAGCACTTATTCAATACAGCTGTCACAAATTTATTTTTCGCCAACCTCTTAAATTTAATATCAAACTGCTCGTGGTCACTAACCTGTCCCTGAGGCTCGGTGGAAGTGGCGTAGTTAGCGAGTGTTAACAGACATCCACTATCCTTCATAGCATCCAACTGTTCCGTGTCTAACATACATACTCCTACTACTTGAACTATTCCTAGAACAGGGAAGTAGTTTTGATAATTTTGAAAATTTTTCTAATATTTTTGTACCTGATTAGATACCAGAACCCACATAACTCACGATCAATTTTAGAAACCATTGAAATTATGAAATATGCTAATTCTGGCAAAAAAGGATTTCCCGAAATTCCAGGCATATTATTATTAACATGGTGCCACCACTAAAAAAAGTTACGAAAAGCATCAAGCAACAAAACAAAATCTCACCCTCGTGCAGGTCGGTGACCTCCTCGTTCGTTAACATCTTCAACAACGCCTCCAAACCATTAACATCTTTTACAGAGGTCCTGACACACTCTTCTTGACAAACTGAGTAGGTAACTTTCAGAACTAGCAGCTGTATAGCGGGGTACTCACAATTCAGGGCTTCCAGGAGAGACGTCACTACCTGGTGGGTAGTGGAGTTGATGTGCTGATTTGGCAAGTTAAAAAAATTCCTATTCAAATTTTACCCTGTGAGAATTCATTCAGCTGGGAATAGAATGTAAGAGTGAAACTTAAGAACTGACAAAATTTCAAAATTTGTCATTATTTGTTAATATCCTCACATTAGCTTCATTAAGAGCAATCCTACACTGACTATCTACAGCTAACAGCTCAATAGTTTCAAGGGTGTTCTGCTGAACAAGAGGGTCTGGGTCCGTTATCAGCTGGACTAACAGCTCCACTCCTCCATTCTCTAGGATAACTGACTTCGTCGTGTATTGGTCTGAGGTAGTTAGGGTAATTGAGACAGCGTAAACATCATCATTCATCAATCACCAAGTATACAGTTAGGTTAGATTGGGACGATAATTAATGATAAAAAACTCAGTTGTTCCTTAAAAACATATATCCATTTCGAATTTCCTGGTTTTAACCCAGATATTTTCTATCACTGAAAAACAAACCAGCAATAGTGAGAAGACACTTTGTAGCATGTTCGTGAGTCATAACCCCTTCCTCTGGCTTAAGGAGGTTTATCAACGCTGCTACTACTTCTTCTTCTCTTATCTCTGCTCTACTTTCCTCTGTGATAACAGCTGTTAGTGCGATACGCAATTTTTCGAACAGGTAACTTGAGTGCACGATTTAACTTATCCACCATATGAATGTGTTTAAAATTTAGCATGTATTGAAATAACAATGGTCAGGATAAGGTATTTCAAAATCAGACCTAACTGCGAGAGAGAGTTGACGAGCATAACACTACTTCGACGAGTGGCAGCGTCAGCTGATAACAGGTGAGGTATCGCAGCTTTTACTGTCCCCATGCTCAATAACTCAGTTTTATTTGGTTCACCTGAAATAAGGTCAGTGACTGAGTGATCAACAGTATGCTGCCAGCGCTTTTAGATAGTAAATGTGGTGAGGCGACCAATGTTATCGCTCGAAAACTTGACAAAAAAGCAATACAGGATACAATTGGGGCTGCAACAGCCAACACGATGCATAAATTTGGGGCTTGTCTACCCATGCTCGCCTGCAATAAGTTAGACGATCTTAGGAGGACGTTGCCATGGCAACATGGCAGATATTTTGGTCGCGCGCGCCTTTTTTGCGCGGAATCAGTATTAAAATATACATTTGGCGTTCGCGCCTAGTAGTATTGCTGTCCAAATATTCTCGGACGATGTAAGATCGGTTTTTGTGGCGCGACCCCCATTATAATTTTATTAACTTATTCTTACTTAAACTATTAACAACTATATGATAGAAATCAATTATAAAGAATTGATCAAGTAATTAGGTCACATAATGATGGGGGCAAGCGTGCCACAAATGGGGGAAAGAAATGGGGGAGTGCCACAAATATTGAGAATACCTTGCCTCAATTATTCGAAACCTGTTATTTTGCCCGAAAGTTTGAACAAATTATCGAGTTCGCTAATTACTGATAAAATAAGGGCATGTCAAGAAGAAAGTATCTCCCATACCCTGCAGGAAATATACCGAACTTACGAACACCTTTTAATTATAAACATAAAGATATTTATAAGATACGCTTTACATCCAAGAATGTTGGCAAAAGTGTACCAAAAGATGGAGTTGTTTCAAGATTATCTCTCCTCCCATGTCCTTAATCATGTTTGAGATATAAATAAACTTGTTGGCTACAAAATATCGAATAAATTATACTGCTTTGCAAACGGACTTTCATAACAGGGCCAGGTTTAAAATCCCGAGAACTGCCTAAATGCTTACTCATTCTCTCGTTGGTAGAATGCATGAAATAAAAAGTCTTCCCAAGGAATCCAAAAACCTAATTTTAAAAACTATTTTGGGATCAGTAAAAGTGAGCAGTTTTACAAAAAACTGTTTATCACCAAAAGTTGGCTTCATGATGTGGTGTTGTCGAGACATCACATGGGTTGACATAAAGTCACGTGGTTTTGTGATGAAGTCACGTGGTTTTGTGATGAAGTCACGAAAACAGTACTCGACAGTATCCTCTTCTGTATTCCTCCCTTAATAACTCTGGCAGTATGGTGTTTTGAGTTTTCCAAACAATTAAAATCGGGTACGCATAAATAAGAACAAGTTCCCCAAATTTAAAAAGATTGGTCAGGTTATTCATCACTTGTAAAAGAGTTCAAAGTAAGCACATATGAATGTTGGCATCTTAGAATGATCACACGATTTATTTAAATATAATTATAGATCATGTCGACATAAAATCACTCGACGTGGATCTTAGATTAGTCCGACCCTGTCATTCTTCTGTTTTGACATGCAGTGATATTATTAGCTACGGATTCTGGTCGCATTTCTTCGTCTCTGTTGTAGTTTCTTCTTCTTCTTGATTGCTGACCTCTACTGACGCCGTTTCAGATGACACAGTATCCACTGGCGCCGGCCATTTGCTTTCCCATTGCAAATTATATGAGGAATCTGGGAGATTCCAGTTATTTGTAGAGATTTTTATTATGATTCAACGTGGGTTCCTGTAGAGTCTGTCTATCCGCTTTTAGCAGATAGGCAGGCTCATTTGATGATCTGGATTACCATTCACCTGTAGAACCTGTCTATCCGCTGATCTTGTCTGATTATTCATTGAGTAGTCCTGTCGATTTTGTCTAGTGGCCAAGGATTCCCTTTTATCCCGGCGATCCACTGCGACCGAGGATTCCTGTGTTGGTTGTTGTGAGTTATCTCCCCATGTTCCTCAGGGTCTTCGTTCTCTGTTGTTATTTCTATCGAACACTGGGCGTATATTGCGAGGAATAGGTCTCTGGTCGCAGAAGTGGCAGAAACTATTTAATCGAAAGTTAAGGTTATTGCAACTATATAGATCATTGGGCGTACTAGGCTCGACCCACAGCGTACACAGAACTTATGGTAGTGGAGGTTAGACCTCCCACATTGACGACAGGTTTGACTCTGATGGATGTGTTTCCAACGATCAAGATGGAGATAACAGTGAGAATTTAAAGGAAATGACTGAAAAGATAGGTTTAGCGTGACAGAATGTACGGTTGGTTCTGATAAGTTACTATTATATGCTGAGAAATGTTTAACTGATCATTAAATTTATCACTTGATGAAGACGAACTTTCTGATAGAGAATCCTGTTGACTGTTGTAGAATGATATTGGCTTGTAGAATGATGATTTGATGATTCGTCATTAATTTCCAGACTCTGTTGCAATATTTATATCTGTTTGTTCGATAAGTGAATTATCTGCCTAGCTGATCATATTCCTGCTTGGGAACGGATGTTCTGGGATAATCATCGTTCTTTCGAATTCTCTATTGTTGCCAACTGGTGAAGTGAACCAGTAGTTATCGTCCACTTCTTCATTGAAGAGTTTTTCGATTTGAAGATGTAAGTGCAGTTTATTCGGATTCCTTTTGCAGTTTTTTTTCTTCATTTTAAGCTCCAATTCGGCCAACATGAGAAGAAACAGTGGTAAACACACAACGAGCGGTGCTGGGGAGCAATCTGACTCAGTGGGTTGACTAGGTCCACAAATTAATTGACAAATTTGACTTTCACATTTTCACAATGAGTCACAGATAGATAAGAAACTTTGGAGCAGCTGTTCCCTGGAAGCGGGGTGACCAATTAAAGTTGGGAAAATTGAGACTGCAGAGCGCGAGCGTAATGATTATTGGCCAAAATTTCCGGTTAAAAGCCGGCACCTGGCTGGCTGAAGTCTGAGTACCACAAGTTAGGTGGATAAAAGTAGTTGATGCTGACTATTTGCCGGTTGAAACTTGGATGTATGAACTGTATTTATGATGTATGAACTATAAATGATCAATGAATTTCCAAATGAGTGAAAAAGTGAGCTGTAATTCTCAATATGAACTATAAGCGGTCCTATATAACTCTTCCCGACGTTTTCCAAATTAGCCAAGATCGAAATCTCAATCACTACAAAACAGTTAATTAAATACCATCAACTCCTTACAGTATCTCGAAATCTTATTAGTAATTAATACAATCGTCAATCATGTAGCTAAATACTTAATTAACAAATAACTTACCGACAAGTGAGTAATTGTAAAGTGCGTCACATGACCTCCACAAAATATTCTCCTCTTTAGAGAATAGTAAGTGGTACAAGGTCTGGGGGTCCTTTGATTTGAAGTTCACCTCGCTCAGCTTCTGTAAAATAATAATGTGTAAGTAAAACAAATAACAATACAATGTGATGAAAAGTAACTTCACTCAGTTTTAACTCAGACTAAAATATATTTGATAAAACAGCCCATAAAACAGTTTTATGAAGGAGCAACGCTCATAAAACAGTTTCAAACCAGTTGTTCCTCGACATCCATCACACAATCTCAACTAATAAACGCAAAGTGATCTGATTTATTAAAGCTGTATGGACCTATCTTTTATGTTTGACCATCATCATCTAACGACGAACAAATAATGCACTAATGCAGCAACGTGTGATACAAGTTGATAAGCTGAGGTTAGTGATCATTGCTTGACAACATTTAGCAAGTTGAAGCGGTTGAGCAATCGAGGGTAATCGTTAGGAGCACTTGTGGTGATATTCTTGAAGAGGTTTCCTTCTCAAAGAGTTTTAACATTTGATTTAGGAAATGTAGGCAACAGAGCAGATCTATTAGTGTAACAATTGTGTCGCTCACATGTTGTGCTCTGCTTGTATACTCTGTGCTTTCTGATCGACGTTGATTATGCGCCTACTTTTTAATTATATACTTAACATTCACGTGGATTACATAAAATGTTATGGAATTGTTAATAATAACGATAAAAACTTACTGGCTCTTCGTCTTTCTTCTTAGAGTCTTCATCCTTCTTTTTGGGTGGCATTCTACAAGGATAGGTATTTAAAATTGCATAAAATATATGCATGATATCAATTATGGAATATCACTTTTACCCACCATTATATATGTATTATAATGAAATGCAAAAGGTAAATCATGATCGACCCACTCAAGAGAGCGAAGAATGGAAGGTAATTTAAAATAGTTGATATGGAATAGTTATGAAAAGCCACTCACAAAATCAAATAGTCACTTTGATTCCAATTATTCTGAGTGAAATCATTTAAATTTTAAAACCATAATAAATTGCCAGTTGCAACATCAGTTATCAGCATATCTTTGCTATAAGCGTGTACATGACATTATACATATAAATTAGAAACTGAAAACGAGGCTGAAATTTTTGTTTTGTTATGGCTACCGTATTTCTATCACTGGTTCTATAGACATTTTTCACAAAATTGTTTGATGATCAGTAATTTAATCGATATGTTATTTTGTCTAGTAGCTATGGTGACCTCACACTTTTTTTTGCATCGACATTCAATTGGGTGGGATATTACACAAACCGAACGTTTCTTCTTTCAAAAAGAAAATTCAGCCCTCCTAAGGGTCGTCCCCCTCTCTGATTGATTGTTTTCAATTATGTTTAAGAAAATTTAGACGTTTACCTCAACTGCAGATCATGGCAAAAAGTACAGACTCTGATAAAGACAAACTGATAGAATCAGATCACATCGAATATGGTAGCTCATCAGAAGATGAAATACCCACCAAGTCTCTAAAAGAAATTATATACACTATGATTGGTGAACAACGGTAGACTTGGAAGCAGGGAGGCAGGGAGGCAGGCAAAAATGTCTTATAACCTATTTCAAGTGTTGGAAAGCACAGTCATGCAGTATTGGATCATTTTGGCACTGATATATGTTATGTGGACGGCTCTAATTTCCACTATTGTTCCTGTAATAAGGTGTGGGTGGGGGTTAAGCATCGTGGGGAGACCCTGATCAACTTCAGTGCTTACTTCTTTAGTGATCTAGGTAAGTCTCTTTTATTTATTTTTGAAAAGTCACAGCTGTGTGCTTGATTGGTACTGGTTGATTGGGGAACTTTTTTTCAGCTAGCATATCAAAGTATAAAGCAGTGAATGTGATTACCATACCAGCAACTATATCTGTAATAGCCATATTTCAGGAGAAGGGGTGTTTGTAAAGCATCCTGACATCTATGGACGGAAGAAAATGATTGTAATAGCTTTAACTCTGTTGTTCCTCTCCTCAAGTGCATCAACATTTGCTCAAACTAAAGAACAGTTCTTCATCCTGCACTGTCTTAGACAGTGGATCACGTTTCCCACCTGTATAACTTTCACTTCAGGAATAGTAAAGAGCACCCATAGAGAGGTGGGACCCATGCTTTCTGTCCTATTCTTCAATATCTGTTGGCGTACTTGTTCCTAAAGATAATGGGATGGATATGGTTTGTTTTCCTAATGGCTGTGCCCTGCTCATTTGTTTTGTTCTTGTGTCTACTACAGGATTCACATACTCATGTTTATACGCGTACTGCGTGACGCACTTGTTTGCCGCCTTCGGCGGTCGCGCGCTACTGCAAGCGAGAAGGCTCTGGCTAGAGCAAACTACAGGAATCTCCATGATATATAGCAGCGAGTGGAAGAAAGAAGGAGGCTATGGAGGCTAATCAAAGCATGGCCTGGTATAATTGCTATGACCATTTTACTGGTCAACTGGTATTTCGGTGTCCCTAATCATTTTAATTACACTCGTTCACTTGTCAAGGCGTGTAAGGTCATTCGGCGAATTTTCTTTAAAATATAATGATGTATTTGTGAAACAATTTGAACGTTTATTGATTGAAAAATTCATGTCATATTATATATTATTGGAACAAAAATTTTTGAATGTCAAAAATTAAAACTTAAAAATTAAAAATAATTTAAATTTAAATCAAACAAATTTCTTAAGTTGCATTGGCTATGTTACAATTTTTAGTTAAAATTTGAGGACTTTGACACGCAAACTATTGACATACGTTGCATGCCACTTTTTGCGCTCGAAGCGCGCGCCGCCGTTGTCATACGTTGTATGACCCGCCGAGCACGAGTGCGCGGCTCCCCCTGTATCGTCGAAACTCTACTATAGTGAAGCGACAGTGGGGGTCACCACGTGATACAACGCCGCACATGATACACCGCCATGATACAACGCCGCCGAAGGCGGGATACGAAACATGTATCAAGCAAACTACATTTTTGTTTATATTTTTCATTGCAGATCGTTACTCTGCTTTGCAAAACACCGATCTCACTGGTTTGACATCGTCATTCAAAGCTTAAATTAATATTTATTTCAGTTTAAAACATAATTTGTAAGCATTGGTTACTGAGTTGGAGGACTTCACCGCTTTGACGCGCCGCGCAAACTAGCATTCTTGCTTCGCATGAGATATAGCCGAGAAGCTTCAAAGGGGGGGGGGGGGGGGTTGATGGAGGGTTATGCTTTGTCAAAGTGGATGCTTTTAAAAATGAAACCGAAAGTCTTTAAACTGCGCGTTGTATTGGTTTTATATTTTATGTATAAGTATCGATTCGCATGACTTGTGACGAAATACCCAATTAATTAGAGTTAGTACAAGCCAAACACAAGGATATCTCGTGTCATTAATAATTAAGTGACATTAAGTGACCGGTGAGCCACACTTCTTGACAAATTTTGTTTAGAATAACGACCCAATCATAAGGTAAAAAGTGTAAGCTGTATTTTAAGGGCTATTCTCAGTCCATCTAAGTCGTAAGTTTGGAGGAATAATACGGCTAATTTTGAGATTCTTCAAAGTCTTGAACCAAAATATCCTGTTACGCCGTCAACTGGGCCCAGGAAACCTTACCGTTAGGAGCCTAACCACTAACTTTGGAAGTAAAAGAGATAGAAATGTCTGGTTTTCAACAAAATGTTCGTCTTGTAAAAATAACGTTTCCTCCTCAGGAGGAAAATTTAAAACAATTTAGATTTTGAACTATCGCGAAAAGTCATATTTTAGGCCTTATAAAACGGCGCAGCTTTAACTTTGCGGATTCTTGTTCTCTGATTGGCTGAATCGTATCACGTGCTACGTGGTGAAATTGCATCCTTGGAATAATTGAAGCGTGCAAATGCAATGAACTAACGAGCGCGCGCGGAGTTCAACAAGCTGTGAAAAGGCGATCACCCTGTAGTAATATCGCTAGCCGGTAACAGGTAAGGTCTGCTGGGCGCAGAGCAACGATCTGGAAGGGTTGACATCGTCAATCAAGTTACTGAGGGATAAGTTCCAACAACAAACAAAAGTGGGATAAATCTCGAATTGAAAATGGAAAACAAAAAGATTGCATTCTACAACGAAATCAAAAGTACAAAGTAGTTTAAATATTTTTTGTTTGGTTGAATAATTTTCAGACAATTGATTGAGATCTGACACGTGTAATTTTGTAATGATATTTTTAATGTTGCTCTAACCAGAGCCCTCTCGCTCGCAGTAGCGCGCGACCGCCTTGTAGCGCGATGCACTACTGGGTCACGCGCGCATCAAATAATGCTTCTCGCAACCACAGATCGGCGAGATGCGAAGGATTGACATCGTGAATCAAGCGACCGCCGAAGGCGGCAAAGGAGGATATTCTACTTGTGAAACAAGCGTGTCACGCAGTACGCGGATACACATGGCTATGTGAATATTTAATGTCTAATTTCTAATTTTTCTAATTTCTAATTTCTAGCCAATGTCCTGGCGGTGCTGAGCCGATGTAAAACTCTTCTGTAAACTCTTTTGTCTCTTGTAACTTGTTTATATTTTATATTTTAGTTATACTGTGTACTGTGTACAATAGTTATAGCGTATAGTGTGTAGTGTGTAGTGGTTATTTTGTTGTAACGTGTCACTTTATATTTTGCTACCAACGTCAGCCTTGACTTACCATTTATTGTAATTGGTACAGCATATATCAAAATTAAAACACTGTTTTCGATCTGACAGGTGATGGGCTCTCTCTGATGGGACATAGTTCTAGGGGGTACCCGGGGTACGAGTTAACGAATAGTGTTCGTGTCCTTCCACAATCCCCTCTCATTGTGTTTTTGACGGAGGAGGAGCCTAGTTCATCCGTCTGCATCGCTTAATCGAGTTAAAAATTTAGCCAATAACAAACTAAATTACATGTTATACTGATATCAGATGTAGAGTTTATAACATACAAATTCTAAATTTTTGACGGCTGACGATGGTAAGTCGCTACGTTTAACTCGGGACTTTTATAGTCTTAAGTCTTGGAGCTCAAAATGTCTCGTGCTGTGGGCCGTATAAACGGCGCTCACCACCGCCCCGCCTTACTGCTTACATTACTTCATGGTTGCGGGGCGGAGCCGGTGCCGTTTGTCTCGGCCTCGAGTGGCGAGTGCTTGCCCATCGAATACACGATTGAAACACTATACTAATTATTTACTGGCATTCTACAGTTTCCAAAACGAAGTACGAAGGTATATTAACTTTGAGCTTTGTTTTGGCGACTGCTTCATCGATGGGCGAGTAGGTATTTGTTGTTTAGCAGTGTTGAATATTGGAGCAATTATATAATGTATATCTCCATCATAATATAGGCTAGTGTAAACACAAATATAATCAATAATACAAACAAATAGTATTGTATTATTGGTAACTCGCTAGATTATAAATGTTATTTAAACACATATGTTTACGTCAATTATTACACGATTACACGATTTACACGATTAGAAAATGTATTTGTTATACTCAAGAAAACAACAATTTCAAGAAAACAACAATTTTATTTAGTATCAATTAAAGCAGACAAAAATATATTTCATATATATATAACTAGCACGAACTTTAGATCAGATATTTTAGGGGACTTGGAGTAGCAAGAGATTGACTAAAAGGTATATAACTTTTACAAAGATACGTCGAGAAGAATCCAGGGTGATACAGGATCGGAGAGTGCAGACCAAAAGTTTACGCACCCACCTTT